CCTCCGCGCGCCTGCGCACGCACAACCACACGCGCCCATATTTTGCTCCATTGCGGTTTATTTCACACCTCAAACATTTAGTAAACAATTAAACAAATACAAGTAAACTGCAATAAATTACAGGTAGTAATAAAATTAACTACTAACTCTTTTACGCTACGTCCGCACCTACATGGGTATTTTTGAAAACGCAGCTGTTTTGTCCACGTAAACGGCGTTTCAAATCACCGAAAACTGAGATTTTTAAAACTCCTTTTTTGCGTTTACGTGTGGACGAGGAATACAGAGTTCGTCACACAACGTCAAAGGTATGAGTCTTTTTCACGTCACGCTGTGCGCCACGTTATTGTTTACATGAGATGAACTGCAGAATGGAGATAGAGACAAAATACTGTTAATCTGACTGTCTGCAGGTTTTACACGCAGTTACTGTCCCTCCATTTACAAAGGCAGAGGCGTCATGGTGTGATTATTTTACATGTAGTTGTTTTTTTCATGTGTAATAATGTTCAACATTGCTGTCAACACATTTTTCAAAAAATGCCTCTCTGTGCAAAATGGGTTCAAAAACATAAACAGCTGTGGGATCCTGTTTGTCCGTGATTTAAACAGCTCAGCGCTGCTCCCGACGCAGGGAAAAGCAATCCTGCAGGGAGACCCACCTCGGCACTTCTGCAGGTGAAGCCAAAGGGGAGATTTGCTTCACCATATTTTCTAGTCTTTGGCTTAGAATGAAGTTGGTTTGGAAACATATTCAGCGATGCTTCATCTCCTGCTTTGCGTTTCTGTGGGCGCCCTGTGCTAGCAGTGTCCAAGCGTTTTGTTTTTTTGTTTTTTCCTCCCCTTTTCATACCGCGTCCCCCCCTGCAATGGCTCTGCACCCCCACCCCTCCCCACCCCAGAGGGCAGGCCCCACACTTTGGGAAGGTCTGCTCTATATGAATGTTTGAATGTGATTATATGAGCTTCTGAGATGTCACTTTGTATTTTGTCTTGCAGCTAAGTTCTGGGCTGAATTAGGAGGGAAGAAGGAGTACCAGACATCAGAGAGGCTGGAGAGTCCGTCTATGACTCATCCTCCTCGACTCTTTGGATGTTCCAACAAGACTGGCAGGTTCACAGTAAGTTTTTAACATGTGTCATTTTCCCCTCATGAAGGAATCTATTTGTTACTTTTCTTTCCAGCATATTATTTATTCTGTTTTTATTGTATTCGTTTATAATAACAATAATAATAA